TCTGGATCCAGCTTCCGTAGGGCCCATCTTCTCGGGCGAGTATTCTTCCCCCCCCCATTGCCGCGGTTGAGGATTCCCCGGCGGGTCATCTCTACACTGAATTTGATGTAGAGATGGTCGGACAATGTTTCTTCGTCCGACACCCGCCAGTTAGTAATTTTACTGACCGCAGAGGGGGTAGACCATGTTAGGTCCACGATCGATTTCCCTTGCGGCCTGACTACAGTGCTCCTCGACCCTGTGTTGATGAGACAAAGGTCGAGTGTTGCGGCTTACATCTCTAGGACCCTGCTTTTGCGATCCATTGCACAGGAGTTTCAACGACTTCGCGTTGAAGTCTCCGGCCAGAATTGCTGGTCGAGGGAACTGGGCGTGGACAAAGTCAGTTATTTCGTCCAGAGCTCCCTCATATCTGATAGAGCCCCATCTGGGGGGAAGATAGACCCCCACCACTATGATGGGCTCCAGGCCATCGCCACAAATGCGTCGCCCTCTCCTGCCTTGCTGCAGGGAGGACGGCCCTCCTGGTATATCTAGTGGATTGCGACCGAGCCGGCACTATTAAGTGTCCATAAGAAGTGATCGTTTGGAATCCCCGGTGTGTATGGCTCGGCCGCGATCCCCAATCCGCAGCCACGCTCGCCAAGAGTTTGTGTAAACAAATCTTGTGCTCGGCAAGCGTGGTTTAAGTTCGCTTGGAGCACTTTGAGGCTCATGTTAATTTAGGGCCTCGCTGTCCTCCACAACGTCCATCATTGCACGAGCTTCCGTTCTCAGCTCCTGTACCTTACTTGCTTGGGATATCTCCTTTGCCGCTGCTTTCCCCTTTTTTTGAGGTCGCGGCTCCTCCTGCGTCTTTTCCTGGGTAGGAAGGTTACGGGCGACCCTATTGTTCCCTCCCTTTTCTCTTGGGGGGGGGGTGCATTTGGCGCTCCCCATTCGGTGATCCGCCTTACGCCCCAACTCTGTACAAATGGGACATTTGGTCCCGCTTGTGCATTCCCGGGCTCTATGTCCAGGGGCTCCGCAGTTGTAACACAGATTACTTCTGTCTGTTCCACTCGAGCATTGCCCTTGGACATGTCCCTTCCTCAGGCATTTGTGACATTGCAGGGGTCTTTCCTCCAACATTTGTATCCCTGCTCTGACCCATCCCAGAGTAATTTTCCTGTTCAGCCAGTTTTTGGGTTGCGGTTAATGGGCACTGTACCCATGCAGTGCTCATTGATCCTTTGTTGAACCTTATGCCTCCCGTATTAATATCGTAGAGGTCACATCCTCCGATTTTTGCCACCCGAGCTCGGATCTCCGCTTCTGTGAGACTCATCTATCCCCGTTATACGGAGATCTCTCTTCTGCATTGGTCGGGTCACTCTTACCCCTTCAACATTCGCCAGAACCTCAGTTTCCCGGCGAATTCGTCCGCCTTTTCTTTACGTCCCTCCCCTGCTACCTCATACTTGAGGGCCCCTGTCACCGCTCTGGTGACCTTCATGTTTTGTATGCCGATTTCGGCGACGTCTATTTTCGACCTCGCCATATCCACCACCTCCTTATAACGCCCTTCTCCTCCTTATAAGGCACGTGAGGATCACCGCGGCTGTTCTTTTTATCTTTCCTTGCCCCTTCTTCTTCGGCGCGTTGTTTCCTTTCCCCATCTGTCTCTCATTATTGAGAGGGGGGGGATTTCGCATCTTTCGCTCTTTTCGTTGCGTCGGGGGGAGCTTACCTCTGAGCCAGATGTTCGGGCTTGGCTTTTGCTGTCGCTCTCTTCTCCTTTCTCCCCACCACCTTGGCCCAGGTTTCTTCCTGAGCTTTGGCCTGCGACGGGGAGGGGAGCATGGCGACAGCTGTTTCCCGGCAAGAAGGATTTCCGAGGTTGACTGCTTTCTCCCTCTTGGGGGGGGGGGGGAATTGTTGCAACTTTGTGGCTGAGCCTTTGCCGCTTTTTCCTTTTTTGGAGGGAAATTTGTCCTCTTCTTGGAAGCGCCCAAGCAATCCTTGCTGGGCCCTTCATTGAGGGTTGATTTAGGGTTCTTGTTTTTCGCTCTCACGGATTTTGGGTTAATCTCTTTTCCCTCTGCTACCTTCTTTGTTCCTTTTGCCATTCATTCTGGCTGAGTTTGCGCTGGTTTCCCTGATGTCGCAGGCTTAACCCCTTCCTTATTAGTTTCACTTTGGGACCTAAGTCCCTGCGTTAGATTCTCTCTTCTTTGGAAATCTTGGATCTTCTCCGATAACTCGTCAGGCCAACATATCCTCCTCTCTTTCTATTCCCCTGGGATATTCCTTTCCAAGGGGTTTCTTGACTCTTTTAATAGGGGGTTTTTGTGAAGGAGGAGATAAGGTAGAGCAGGGTACGGGGCCCGCCTCCGGATCCGGGGTGTCCATCTCCATGGGGGCGGGCCGGACCGGGCAGCAGAGACCAACCTCATTACTCCCTCCCCCTCCGGCATTTCTTGCTGGGAGAGTCTCTTTATTAATGACGCTCTCATTCAGATATCTTATTGACTCCTTCATTTTATTACTAACTCTTATTTGTGCCGCTTCCGCCTTGAGTTTCTAAACCATAGTTAAGAGGGACTTGACCTTGCGCAAGTCCTCCAATTTTCCTTTTTCTCCGCTTTCAGCGACGGGTAGAGCCCTGTTCGTCAGTGTGACAATCGCGGCCTTCATCAGGCACGTGGCTTCATTTAATTTCCCTTTAAACGTGCCCTTCAGCTAACCAGATTTGACTGATATTTTCCTTATTGCTAATATACTCTCCATAACGATTGCAGAAATATCAGCCACCGGAGCGTCTCTGTAGTTTTCTAACTTCTCCTCAATTAGCCGTCGCATTCTGTCTGCCGAGGCAGTCCTTTGGAGCGGTACTCAAGGGTCAAGAATGTCACGTTCATCCTGCTCCTCTTTCCTTATTTTCTCTGCTTCCCATCTAGCCTTAAGTCTAGATTAAGGCATAGTCGCTTGTTGTTTCAGGGCGAACCGGACCTTTTTCTTTTTCTCTTGAATCTCTTGGCCACAGGCTCGCCTAGAAGACTTGTAACGTCTATATCTTCGTCCAATATCAACATTTCCTACTGATTTACTCTTCCTGGGTTGTCCACTCTTGTGAGTATGATGGCGGCTTCCCTAGTGGCCTCCTTCACTACCTTCATTTCTTTAATGACAGGCTTGCCGGATGTTAGGCTTTTAGATTCTGGTTTTTTCCAGGTTTTTTCATTCTCTCTGCCTGCATTAGCGCTTAGCGCAGCGCTCCCCCAGCTCCTCCCAGCTTGTTTGTTTTTTATTTTGATTGTGTTTGCTCTCCATCTCTGTTGATCCCACTCCCCGAGGAAACTAGACCGGCCGGCGTATCTCCCACCGGCCAGGGGGCGACCCCCGAAACATGACCGGCATCGCCTCCTAAACCAGTGTCCTGGTGACTCCCGGGGAGCCGGTTTATGCCACAGTCCGGGGGGAATACCGCATCCCGGCACTGAGCTCCTAGCCCTTTACTGGGTCCTGAGGAGTTTGATTCCCCCAGGGCTTTTTAGGAGTCCCCTGGTTTCGACCCCAGGGGCACCTTCGCGAGTAACGCCACTCGGGGGGCCCCACGGACGCTTTGGACAGGGTCGCCGTCCCCTGCCCTACACGCCGTGTCAGCCAGCAAGCCTTCCGGTGGGGGCTCATGGCCACCGGGCCACGGCGCAAGGTGATGGCCCACGAGGGGGCCATGGTATGGGACATGCAAAAAAATAATGTAAAACAATAAATCCTCTTCTCAGGACTGTTACCCGGAGGGGGATCCGCGAGATTCGCGGAGAGGGAAATTCGCGAGTTTTAAGGTCCGCGGGGAGGGGTATCCGCGAGTTTAAGGTTTGTGGGAAGGGAGATCAGCGAGTTTAGGGTCTGCGGGGAGGGGAATCCGCGAATTTTAGGGTCCGCGGGGAGGGGGATACACGAGTTTAGGATCCGCGGAAAAGGGGATACGCGATTTAGGGTTCGCGAAAGGTCTGCGAGAAGAGGGAAGCGATGAGAATATCAACGAGTGATGACACGAAAAAGACGCACGCGAGAGAGAAAAAGATAGCGCGATAGGTAACATGGAGCGTCCATAGGAGAGCGCAAAGAGAGGGAAAGAGGAGCGACAAGATGATGCTCCGCGAGAGAAAAATGATGACAATGCTAATTCTAAGCTTTAATGTATGTATATATATTTTTTTTACTTATATAAGATATACTTATAATTTAAAAGAGGTAACGAGAGGATTTAATCCTAAAATAATGACAATATATACACATATATATATATAATATATAAATATTTATTCATAAAGATGTGTGTGTGTGTAAATTTAAAATATAAAATATGAATATATAAAATTAATGTAATATAAAATATGAATATATAAAAATTAATGTAATATATAAAATTTATTCGGAGAAAGGCGGCGCGGGCAGATCCATGCCTGGCTTCTAAACACAGAAAAAATTTTATTAATTTTGTTGCGGAAATGATCACGCAGTCCGCGCGCTGTTTGTGTTTTTGCGAGATGGTCAAAACTCTGCAAATCTGTCGAGAGCCAAACAGCGGCGAAAAATAAATTTGCGAATCATAACAAAACGCGCCTCTTGTCTTCGACCAAGGGCATCGTTGCCGCCTAACAACATCGCCGAGCGAAATCGAGAGAGACCATTATTTTCCCCGAGAGAACTGACGTGTTTTTCTTTTTTTTCTCCCAAGGTCCGCCGAAACCTAAAGACACACCAGGCTCTTGAAGTCGCACCCTCAGTGCCTCTAAGTACGCCGCAGCTTCGAGTCGTGCCAAAAATATAGCTACGAGTTCGCGCCAAAATTGCACTTAGTATTCTCGCCAATATCGCACCGCTGCAACGTGCAGTTAATAAGAATTTACTGCATCAATTACTTTCTATTTTTTTTGTGTCTAATTACTTTACATATATATATATTCTTTTTGTGCTTTGTTTTATTTCATTAAACACTTTTGTGAACAGTATATTTTGAACATTTCTTTATTCTTTATAATATTCTGGTGTTCGTTCCACCTCACTCTAAACATTTTGGTCCTTCGAGCCGGATAGTGCACATCCGAGCGAGTGGTGAGTGAACACGAGTGTCGCGGTGACGGTAATCCTGGTGCGAAGGGCGTGACGTTGACTTAACTCGCGCAATGAGCCTCGACGCCGAAAGTGTCCTTGACGCTCAGTCCGAGCTGTACGGTCGCATAGCCCGCGCCGAAGAAAACCTGAAAAAGTTAGGAGCGTCAAAAATCTCAATCGGCAGTGTGGAGTCGCGACTCCAGACTCTGGAGGCAAACTGGGATAAGTTCCAGCTCAATCACGAAGAGCTGCGCTCCAAACATAAGAAGGTGCTCGCTGACCACGACTACTTCAAGTCGAGCTGGATTGTCACGGTCGAAGACAGGGTGATGGACCAGCGCTCAACTCTGCTGGATTTGCTGCATTCCCTTCGCTCCAAGCCGGAGAGCGGAGCGGAGCGAAAGATGATAGCAGCTTCGGAGCCCGCGTCGCAGCGGAAGCTGCCCAACATCGAGCTTCCACATTTCTCCGGTCGCATTGAGGATTGGCCAGCGTTCAGGGACCTGTTCCTGTCGATGCTGGATCGCCATCCTTCGCTGGCAGATGTGGAGAAATTGCACTACCTGAAAACAAGAGTGCAAGGTGAAGCCGAAGATCGAATTCGCAATTTGCCGACAACGGAAGGCAATTTCGACGAGCATGGGCAATCCTCGAGGATCGGTTCGAAAACAGGCGAGTCCTTGTGCGCTCGTGCCTCTCGTCGTTCTCCGCAACGCCTAAAATGAAGAATGAGTCCGTCGCCGACTTGAAGAAGCTGGTCAACTGCATACTGCAGACGGCTGGCACGTTGGAAAGCATCGGTCGCAAGGCAGCATACGACAACGACCACTTCGTCCACACAGTGATCGAGATGCTAGATCCTCGATCCAGACGCGAGTGGGAGGACACAATCTGCGATTCACGAGATCCGCCTTCGTATGATGAGCTGAGAGCGTTCCTCGAGAGCCGCCTGCGAGCTTTAGAAGCGTTGCATCCTGCGAAGCAGGAGCCCGCATCCGTTTCTGCCTCCAGGTCGGCGAGCGCGTCTTCAAGGTCGGCGCGCGCCAACCTGGCGCAGAAGCAGCAGAAAGGAGGTCGGTGCCCACTATGTCAAAAGGATCACTTCATCCTCCTGTGCATTGAGTTCCGCAAGAGGCTGCCGGCGCAGAGGAAGGAGTGCGTGGAGAAAAACAGCCTCTGCCTGAACTGCCTTGGCTAGCATCCTGTAGCCGAGTGCCGATCTGCGAAGAACTGCATGGTCTGCAACGCGAGGCATCACTCCACGCTTCACGAAGCCTGTTCAACAACGTCGGCAGCCAGTGGAGCTATCGCGACATCGCTACACGTGAGTTACCACCACGAAGAAGATAGTGCCGCTGGCCTCCTGGCCACCGCACGCATACACGTCAAGAACAGACATGGCGAGCTACAAGCAGTCCGTGCGCTCATCGACCCGGGATTGAGGTGTCGCTCGTCCACGAGGCGCTGGTGCAGCGACTGCATCTCCCTCGTCGCGCCACTTCTATGTCCATCTCCGGTGTCATCGGGCGGCGAAGCGGCAGGCTGCGGGGCACGCCCCTTGAGCTGAAGTCGCGCAACTCCGACTTTGCAATGCGAATTTCCGCATTGATCCTTCCCCGCATTACTGCGAGCAACACCTGCGTGCCGGCCACGACTCAGAGTTGGCCCCACGTCCAGGATCTGTGTCTCGCCGACCCAGACTATGGAGCGAGCGACCCAGTGGAGCTGCTGCTGGGGGTGAAGGAGTATTCCGCAATAATGGAAGGAGAAGTACGCAAAGGCGGCCCCGGCGCTCCAATGGCTCAGCGCACGGCATTCGGGTGGATTCTCCTGGGCGAAGTCGACGGCGCAGCAAGGTCCGGGGAGGCATCATCCCATCACTGCCAAGTAGACGAGGACCTCGTGGGACTGGTGCGTCAATTCTGGAGCCAGGAAGAACCACCGACCAGTTCCACGCCGCTCACGGAGGACGAGCAACGCTGCGAGACATTCTATGTCTCATCGCTCCGCCGCACGCCTGAGGGACGGTACGTCGTGCGCCTCCCGACTACCACGACGCTGCCAGACTTCGGCGAGACGCAGCGCACGGCCGCATGGCTGGTTCGCTGCATGGAACACCGGTTTGCGAAAGACCCGGACTTGCATCGGCTCTACTGCACCTTCATGCGAGAGTATGAGACGCTCGGCCACATGCTAGCAGTCTCCCGCCGTCGGAGGTCGAGCGCGCGCGCACATGCTATCTCCCGCATCACGGCGTACTCAAGGAAGCTGCACCAGAGAAAGAATCAGAGTAGTGTTCAACGGGTCATCGCGCCTCAATTCCGGTGACTCGCTTAATGCTCACCTCTTCGCGGGTCCCAATCTGCTTCCAGCGCTGAGTGATGTGCTCCTGAGATGGAGGAGGCATCAATTCGTGCTGGCCGCTGACATCGAGAAGATGTACCGCCAGATCTTGGTGCATCCCGACGATCGAGATCTGCAGAGGATAATATGGCGGCCGACGGCTGACGCTGAGCTGCAGGAATACCAACTGCAGACGGTCACCTACGGCCTTACCTGCGCGCCATTCCTCGCGATACGCACAATCCGGCAGCTGGCGAAGGATGAAGGAGAGCGATTTCCTCGCGCTGCGGCAGCGCTGCGGCAGGACGATACGTGGACGACATCCTGACGGGAACCGACACCCTGGACGAGGCGCAGGCTCTCCGCGACGAGCTGATCGGCCTCTGCACGGCGGGCGGATTTCCTCTTAGCAAATGGTCAGCCAATGCAAACGCCATACTCAAGGACATCCCCGAGGAAAGACGTCAGTGCGAGACCTGCGTGAGGGGAGAGCGACAAAGGGACACTCCGCGCTCGGCCTCCGCTGGCATCCTCGCCAGGATTGTTTTGCCTTCAGGGTACAGCAACTGAGCAGCCAGCGAGTGACGAAGCGAGTGGTACTTTCGCAAGTGGGCTCGCTTATTCGATCCCATGGGCTGGCTGTCGCCGGTGATCATCAAGGCGAAAATTCTCATTCAGACGATGTGGCTGCAGCATTGGACTGGGATCAGCCTGTCCCCCCGACGGAAGAGCGGACTTGGAGAACTTTTCGCGACGAGCTCCCCGTCTGGAGAGCGTGCACGTGCCTCGTTGGACACAGTGCAAGGGATCAAACATGACCTGGAGGTGCACGGCTTCGCAGACGCCTCCGAGCGAGCATACGCTGCGGTGGTGTACCTCCGCACCAGAGGAGTGGAGGGCGAGCGCCGTGTTTTCTTGTTGCAGGCGAAAACCAAGGTGGCCCCTGCGCAGCCGGTCTCGCTGCCAAGGCTCGAGTTGTGCGCGGCGGCGCTTCTTGCCAAGCTGACAGCGCACGTCGTCAAGGTCATGGACATCGCGTCCGCTCCTCTTCACCTCTGGTCGGACTCCACAGTGACGCTGGCGTGGATTCAGAGTCACCCGTCGCGCTGGAAAACTTATGTGGCCAACAGGGTCGCCGACATCCAGCGAAGGCTCCCAACGCCCAATGGCATCATGTGTCCGGAGCAGAGAACCCAGCAGACTGCGCGTCACGAGGCTTGTCTCCCAGCGACCTGCCGGATCATGGGCTGTGGTGGAGCGGGCCGCCCTGGCTGTCTGGAGACGCCACGCTTCCTGCGAGCACGCCGCTGCCGATGGGTGACCCGCAGGAGGAGAGGCGTCAGGTGCATCTTGCAGCGGTCCAATCAGCCGAGGAATGTCCAATGCTGCGACGATTCTCAGTGCTGCAGCGGCTGGAGGGTAACTGCGTGGTGCTGCCGTTGGCTCGGCGAGCGGCGCGTTCCATACACCCCGATGTCCGCGCTGTCGCCTCAGGAACTCGAGGCGGCCCGACTTCGCTGGATCCGTCATGTGCAGTCCTGGGAATTCGCGGAAGAGCGGCGAGCGCTGTCAAGGGGCGTGGCAGTCCCGCGAAGAAGCGTCCTCGCTAGGCTGGATCCATTCGTGGACAGGAATGGCGTCCTCAGAGTCGGTGGTCGGCTCAAACACGCTGTTTTGAACCCGGATGAAAGGCACCCGATCATCCTCCCCAGGAGGTCGCACTTCGCCGTCCTGGTGATTCGGGAGTGCCACCGCCGAGCCATGCACGGCGGAGTGCAGCTGACTCTGGGGTGGTCAGGCAAGGATACTGGATTCCGGGAGGACGCCTGGAGGTTCGACGCCACATTCATCGCGGCGTCACTTGCTTGCGATGGCGGGCGGCGTCCCGAATCCTATGATGGGGACACTACCACCGCCGCGGGTAACAGCATCGCGTCCCTTCAGCCAAGGCGGGAGTCGACTATGCGGGCCCGGTCCAGGTTCGGACAGCAGCAGGTCGAGGACACAAGCGCACAAGGCCTTTTTGGCCATCTTGTGTGCTTTGCAACAAGGCTGTGCACATCGAGCTGGTGTCCAGTTATGCCACGGATGCCTTCCTAGCGGCTTTCCGGCGCTTGTCTCACGCCGCGGAATGTGCCGCACGCTGTACAGCGATCGGGGGACCAATTTTGTCGGTGCTGATGCCCAGCTTCGAGCGATGTTCCAGGAGGCTGTGCGCGAAAGCCCCGCGCATCGCCGACATCCTTGCCTCCGAAGGGGTGGGAGTGGCGGTTCAACCTCCGGCTGCACCCCACTTTGGCGGCCTGTGGGAGCAGCCGTAAAGTCGATCAACACCCCTCAGGAGAGTTATAGGAGAATCAACACTCACCTTCGAGGAGGCTAAGCACTGTTCTTGCACAGATTGAGGCATGCCTCAACTCTCGTCCTTTGCAGGCCATATCGGATGACACGGAGGACGTCTCGGCCTTGACGCCAGGCCATTTCTTGATTGGAGCCGCTTTGACATCGTGCCTGAGCCGTCGCTGACATCGGGCCTCTCAACAGGCTCACGCGGTGGCAGCTGCTACAACGAATGAGGGATGACTTCTGGTCACGGTGGTCCAAGGAATACCTGCAGTCACTCACCTCGCGGTGAAATGGTGGAGGAAAAAAATCAACCCGACCGTTGGCGACCTGTGTCTTATCGCGGAGAGAACTTTCCGCCGAGCAGGTGGCCGTTGGCTCGAATCACCGAGGT